TACTCATAAGCACAAACAGGCGTACACCAATGCGATTCACTCAGCCTTCTTTCCGACTGACTATCAATGACAAGTGACTTCTATCCCGGGATCCACGAGTGCCCATCGCCCCATCATAATTCACGAAGCGGAAGCAACCTGAACTAGCCCACACTAGCACTTACTAATCCGTATCCACACCGATGCTACTTTTTTCATCACGACCACATCTTCACAGATATTGAAGCACAGAAGCCGGTGGGTGTGGGGCGAAAATGTAGTTTAGATACGTAGACTATTTTGCATGCATTGTTGCCTGCGAGTTCTCGATAGGAAGTCAGTAGGTTTCGAAAAGGGGTCGCCAAAATGGCTGGATGGATCGAACTGAAGTTGCTTAGTTCGTGAATGTGGGTAGAATTGGTTGCGAGCATGTGGAATAGTTTTTTATATGACTTCTTGAGTTGGACGAGTGTGTGTGGGCATGGTTGAGTACGATGTCTTCTATCGTAACGCACCCAGGTGTGCTCATGCTCATCTCAAACGTACTCCAAAGAAATAAAAAGAGATCATTAACAAACGATATTTTAACCCTTTACCCCCTGACACGGTTCCAGAAGAGTCACTGATTAAACTGCCACAGAAATAGAGTTTTGGTCTCCCAAATATGCCATTGGTATAGGCAGATCGATCAAGTGCATTATCATTTGGGCAGAATAATTTGGTAACTATAGTAACCATTGAGACAGAGGAGGAAATGGAACAACTTCAAAGGTCCCACTTCTTTTCTTCTTTGTGACAGTGTTAACTAGACAAAGGTGCCATCTATTCCTTTGTATTAGACTACAATGAACAAGGAAACAATACGTATATAAAAAACTATTTTTAAACACGACTTGTACTTTTGGCACAGCTTTTTTAAAAATATATATTTTTCTTTAAGTAATTATATCATCAATGAAGAGATTAAATCGATGATAAATATTTTTTTTCGACCACTACTATAATAAAATTAAGAAATAATATATTCATAGTATGCATCATTCCGCCCTTCCTGCTCAATAGTTGTTGCAGCACTCATTTTGTGTCTGACCATTCCGTATGTGTCAAACTATTGGGAAAGTTTTAAAACGCGTCTAGTTCCATAGTAGATATTTTAGTCGATATAGATCACACAACGCGTCCTCCAGATCTCTATTGCCTGTGAGTGAAAAAACACTTTGTTTTTAAAATTTTGATTTTTAAAAATTTTTGAAAATTATCGATTTTGTAAGTCATATATCCCGGCGACAGAGCAATGAAACAATATATTTCTTTCATCAATATATAGCTTGTGGAGTTTCCTACAAATAATGTCCTAGAAGCTTTTGAGTTTCATTCTTCCTTTATTTTCTGTCTGCGTTCTACCGATGGGTCAAAAATGACCCACCAGAGGGTAAAGGGTTAAGTATTACGCAGCATTTTCATCGTAAAGCAGAACAATTTTTTCGTAAACAAGGACGTATTCAGATGAAGTATGAAGCACTGTATCTCTCTGTGTATATTCCACAGGACGACAAAGTCAAAAGGCAAATCAGTATCGCTATTGAATGAGTGGTATATCTTCATTTAGCGACACGTGTACTGCAACTGTGCCCTTGCGAACTGATCTATAGGCCAAAGGGTCACAACTCACATAAATTAGCAGATAGAGAATACTTGATTACTTGTTTTGCCTATGGTTCTCTAGATGTTGGACATCATACGAAGCGGGAAAAATAATATCGCTTATAAGGTCTCTTTTCGGCTACAGTTGGAAAATCTTGGAAATCTTACCGTGCAGGCTACTAGAAGAGTTCATAGAAAACTCAATATGATATTCGATATCAACATTGTTGGCTCCAAGTAACTGTATATACGGGGTGGGTGTGGGCATGGGTGAAAAGAACACTCACACCCACCCTCAAAAATGAAAATTCTTCTTGAATAATGTTCTTATAGGTTTCTTTAGTGTACGATCAAAATGAAGCACTAAAGTGTTTGTATTCGACACAACAAATGATATCAATTAGTCACTGCTCAAACATTTTAATCTGTCCAGTGTTCACTATAAATATAAAATAGTCCAGACTCATTGCTTTTGAAAACTTTTTGCATGAAATCTGCATCTTATTTTCAACTGCATTCTATTTGTAGGAATCAACAAAAAGTAAATCAAGCATCGGACAACTCTTCGATGGGATTTCGGTGAAACGCATTAGCAAAGTCTCACCAGACCAGAATGATTCCTCCATTCAGTCAACAAATGATGTATGTAATATATGTTTCATGAAAATATGCGCTGAACACATGATTGTAAGATGCTCTAGAAGATTTGCAGAGAGTTCATTCGTTGTAGGTAGACTGCCTAATACCGTGCTTATGGTGAGATATCAATGTGATTCTAGGTAATGGAAACAAAAATGAATAGAAGCTTGTTGCAAAGGTTCCAGTACAATCTCTACAGGATGAAGATTAGAGATATAATTGCTTAGAAAAATTTTCGCTACATTTATCATCGTGCTTCTGTAGATTAGCAGTAAGTTTCATTGTCACATCAGACTCAGTCGGCAGAAAGACGAATTGGAATGGTGCTCATTGTCTCATTTTGTGCTTCAACATTGATGCTTAATCTGTTTCACTCAATGGAATTATCTATTGAAGTTTAATTTGTCTCAACAAGCTTCGACCGAAAAAATAGGCTTCTCCATTTTATGCTATATGAGTAGTATTTTTTATCGCTGTTTAGTTATCTTCGGATTTTCTCTGGTTCATAGATGATACATTAAATATAAACAAATGATATTTTTAAGTTTTGATGAGTTATTTTCGAATCCAAAAACATGAAGATCTTTGAGTTTATAAATTTTCTGCTGTAAAATATTAGCTGCTTTCTCTTGGAATTTAATACTCCAAATATTCAAAACATTACTGCGCTTGCTCATAAAAACAAGTAACCTGCATCAAGAAGCGATACATTTGACCCTAGACTAATGGAATTGAGATATTTATATAGGCGCATTTTGGTATGAACATGCTATCACTCCCACACTCACATCCACACTCACTCACCTCCTCTGATGAGATAGTAAATCATACTTAGACAATAACTCTGTTCAGATCACCTTGATTTCTTTCATACAAATATGTGACTGATGTATTCCAAAGCTCTTGACAATTTTCTTATAATAATCAATCTAATTGTCATGAAACTAACTATTTTACTAATAAAATCACTGCGGAAATCAATATTTTTTGCGGATTGTTAACATCTTCTTCACTAGTATATGGCTTGCAAGACGGTGGGAAGATGTAACTCATTAAACATATTTATCCTTGATTTTTTCATATTTTGTCTTATTCTATTGATATCGTATTTTCTGCTCTTCATATTCATATCATCTAGAACAAGAAGACATGCACGTACTCTTAAAACTTGGTGTTTTTCATTTTTCTCCTTTTATCTGAAATGTCACATATGAAAGATAGATCATACTAGACGTAAACAACGTGTTCAACTCTCTTCAAACCAGCTTGATTTTTCTAGTTTTCTCAAACTTGAACTATTCAACACGAAACAGAGAGAATACTATGACTATTTAGCAAATAAATATAATTACAATTTGACTTGTTTCGAAAGATTTTTTTATAACTTTTCTTGCATATCAGCAATGAAGCAAAGTTTGAAAAGTTCATTGGTATATCAAAAAAAAATTATTTATTATTTTAAATGATATAAACTTCATCAATACTCTAGTTTTATGCTCGAGATTGTTTGCTTGGTATTGCTATTTCAATATCAAATCTACAATATAAAAAGGGTTTGAGGTGTGAGTGTAAATGTGAATAATGAGCATGAATAAAGAGTAGACACCAATACCTAAGCTGAAACCGACGGCCAGGTCCATAATGGCACTACAATCGAAACGCACACATTCTTCAGCGAAGAATCTCAACATTTAACAAAATAAAAGAAAGAAAGAAAGCACTTCTTTTTCAATCTATCTACATGTTACTTAACGATCTAAGAATACCAGACAAAGTTTTACAGAACTCTATTTTTAGGGATCAACTAGACGTTCATTCACTGTTGAACGAAATTTCAGTAGAGTTGGCGTAAAACGATTGTCCAGGGAAGTCGTCAGCCGTCACCGTTCTTCAAGTCAACCACTACCTGTAGAAGTATGTAAAATCTTCGTTTCCTGCTTTTTTGTAGCCGAAATATGTGTATCTTCAGACTTCCAAACAAGATCTGATGTCGGCTAAATCGTCGATCAGAGGTGTACACGTTGAACGGATTCGAAGTATACACGAGAATCGTGGCAAAGTATTTGTGCGGTCAGCGTCGGATGATGTAAAGCGAGAAACTGAATGAAAAATTAAGATAAACAATGATTATTATTTAGAATTCAATTGAACTTGATTTGAATAGCACAAGCTGCTCCACTGATGCTTTCATAGAATCGCCGCACAATACAATCAATAAGACTGAACTAGCTCACTGGCCCCCGCCAACCGAAGATTTCAATCGGCTTAATTCGGCTACGATATCTCGCGTATGTTTACTTAAATCCTATGAGCGTAGAAAATTGTGTGAGAAGGCGTCGATACTCAGAGAAAATAATTTTAAAGCTAATCAGTGAGTTCAAAGCACTCATTTACGACTGCACTCTACAGTCTCTGTGTTACAGATTCATTTTTGCTTAGAAATTTTCATTTTCTTTCGACTATTAATTCCAAGATTTGTTGAAAATTTTCTGACATTATTTTACAATTGAAGAAATGCCATTGAAATCCATTGTTCCCATCCGGAGTATCTTGAATCGATCAGTTTTTGTAGAACCATCAGCCATATCTTGATTCTGTATAAGACTCACTGGAGTAGGAGATTTATATTTCCATTACTGCTATCAATAAGTGGTAAATGGTTGGACTCACCATGCAAAAATAGATAACTAATCGATGAATTGACAATTTTTCTATGCTAAATAGAAAGCTTTTTGATCATGAAAACACTTACTGGCACTATGGTAAGTGGAAATGGACGTAATAGTAAGTGTGACAGACCTATCCTGGAATTCAAGTTGGCATTGCAGAAAAGTGCCATTATTTCTCCTGCAAATCGACTATTTGAACAGTGAGTGACTGTTTATCTTTTAACTCAACCACTTTCATCTTATATTGTTAATTACTCCAAGAAATCTCGATGATTATAGCTCTTTGTACAATTTTATGATAATCGTACCCTAATCAAGGAACTCTGAAAAATTTCATGATAATTTCACAAAGTTACATATTAGAAGAATAATAATTACCCCGTACGGATGACTATATTGCAGAATTGCAATCAGTTGACTGTTATTGAAACTGACTTGATTCAGCCGATCGCCAAGCAACATAGAAAGATTTTGTGGCCATAAAAACTAGTAAAAACCATCTGTTTAGACAAATATTTTCAGAGTTGTTTAAAGTGACTCGAGAACTATCGAGTAAAATACGTCAACTGATTAACCGAGAGGTTATAGCTTTCATTAGTAAAGAATGGATTTCGTCGCGAATTTTTGAGGAATCCTTTTTTAACTAGAAAATTACGAAAATTTTGGCGATTTTATTTATTCAACATCAGCATACTACGTTGGAGTAATCAATTTAATTTCTGTAGCAGTCTGATTATACGTGCTTACTATAGATATGATTGCTCGAATATTTCTTATAAGGAAATCATGGGTTGCCATTTGGATGATGTTGTTTCCTTTCATACCAAAGTATCTTTTGTTCGAGTAGAACTCTTAGAATTACTCTTAAGCAAATTTAGATACATAATTTACAGGCATTGAAAAGTCCATTTGGTGGTGATTTGTGGTTCAATAATGACATCTCAATTCGTCGATCACAAGTAGCTCCTGAAGACATATTTGCGGCTTACATTAGTACTGGAACAGATGCGATAATAGAAAATAAGTAAGTAAGAAGGCGAACATCAGGAGATATTTAACCCACATCAATCCTTCACTATCGTCTTTTGACATTTAGCCGGAAAAAACGCAAAAGACGCATGACATGTTCTTCTGCTTGGTTTATATTCGCATGTTGTATATGTATCGGCATCATAGCATCTGCCATTGCTGCGGCTCTTATTTTTACTTTACGTGAGTACTTTTCTTATTATTTCGTTTCAAGTGCTAGCTTTAAGAACACGAAAGACTTGTCAATAGTTACATATCAGACTCGAATCTTTTCGGCGTGAAATACTGCATGAGTCTTTCTTTGTGATAACTTAAGCCCAACAAGACGCCTTGTGATAAGAGATAAATCAACATGGAAATTTTGTTTCGCTCTTAAAAAAGTTGCTTTCAAAATTTTACAGTCATCTTCCAATACTTCGATGAAAAAAGATATAATATTTAGTCTACACTTGCTTGCATCAAGATTTTAAGAACTATAATTAATTTTATTCTAGTTTTATTCGAACAAAACACGTCAAATGATTCTGAATAATATCTTTGTTTTGTCAATTGATATAAAGTGACTCAAGTTATGTTAGGTTCAGATTCGACTTTTTTTCAGGAATGATTAGCCCAGCAAAAAAATTTAAATTTATCGATCGAATTAGAAATTTGGCGCAGTATTTCGCGAGCTGCTTCACCTTCCAGAATGTTCCAACAAATGTAGCCGTGCTCCAAATATCATTTGAGGAGCTCAATTAGATTGTAAAAAGTGCATCTCATAAGCATGTTTTGTTCTCATGAAACCGTCAATTTACTGACCTAATTACACATTTGGTGTAGTATTTCTTAGGTAGATTTCCTTTTCAAGATATTTTAACAAAAGTATTCACGTCCCAAGTACCACTCGATAAGAACTTTCAGTTTGCGAAAACCGTATTTCAATAGCATGCTGTGTTCTTATGAAATCGCGTATTAATCGGCCCAATAAAAACTATGCTAAATGGGTAATTAAACTGACAAATAGACAATTCTCTGAGAACAAAAGCATGCTGTTGCGATATGATGTCAGCCAACTGATAGCTCTCATCTAGTTGTACTCAGAACTAAAATACTTTTCTCGAAACATTTTGGTAGGTGAATCGCCCTATCAAATACTGTAGAACAGGGCAAATATTACTGGTAAGGATACAATATCTTGAGAGTGGAGCATACAATTGACATTAGATTTTCACCATTTGATACAGCTTAGTAAATGATATTTGAAACATAAATAGTTTGACTGGAGCATCTTGGTTGGTCACTCAGCCGAAAAATCATTGTTTTTTTGAATTTGTCGAATGAGAGAAAAACTGGTATTTCCCATTTTTGGTAGTTACTATACAATCTATCGAAAAAAGAGTTTTCATTGTTAGAAAGAGCTCGTTGAGTTGTACTTAGAACATATGAAAATTCTATTAGAACGTTTTGCTCGACAAAATGGCTTTAAAAGAAGTAGAATCTGAACCAAAAATAACTTATGTTACAAATTGTCGATTTTTCGCTGATTCATGAAAGAAGAAATCTCTGTACGTTGTATCTAAAGAATTGTTTGAAAGTTATGTATTTGTTATAATAGAACCAACAAACTGACTATTCAAGTTTACATGAGTATCGTCGATGCTTCTTTTCAATCGAGATCGATCCCAGAAAACAGATACGTGCATATCGACAAGAAACTATATATAGCAGCAGCATCCATAGGTAAAAGTAAAAACGATCAGTAATGAGTTTCATCATTGAATCTAACAAAGCGATCCGGACATCTACGGGGCGATGAAGTCTTGATATTTCGGTTCTTCTCATAAAAACTCATCTGTCTGAAAGAATTGAGGAACTCCTTTACTTGTTACATTAATATAACAGAACGGGTAGGTCAATTAATCTCTCAAAGTGTGCGAAAGACACCAAAACAAGTCAGTTCACTCTATGCCATGAATGTAGAAAGAACTCCTCTGTTTTCCTCACCATCCTCGCAAAGTTTCTAATAGACAATCTCATTTTTCAACAAATTGGAAGAATCCTGATACAACTGTATCAGAAATCATTTTCTATTTTGAAGATGCGAGAACTGATTCAGAAACAACAAATAAATAAGGAAGCTATTCTTTTTACAATGTTCGAAGTGTTGCCGATCGTATATGTCTAATGGCTGAAATCTCCCAGACATTTTCTTTTCTTCAGATCAGAAATATCCTCATTCAGAAATAAGAATAATCTTCTTCTATATTTAAGGTTCGACGAGTACGACAACAGTGACAACAACAACATCAACGACGGCAACAACAACAACAGCAACGACAACTACAACAACAACTACAACAACAACGACAACAACGACAACAACAACGACAACAACAACGACAACAACAACAACAACTACAACAACAACGACAACAACAACGACAACAACAACGACAACAACAACAACAACAACCACAACAACAACAACAACAACTACAACGACCACAACAACAACAGCAACGACAACTACAACAACAACGACAACAACAACTACAACAACAACGACAACAACAGCTACGACAACCACAACAACATCAGCAACAACAACAACAACAAGTACGTCCATGTGTTCGATATGTTAAGCCCCCACCCCCCCCCCCCCCCCCCCCACCCCCCACATCCACGCGCCCTCCAGCACCCCCAG